ACAATGTGGCCCTTGTCAAAGTGGTTCAGATCCTCACGCTGCCCATTTTTCCTGCTTCTAACACATCAACTTTGAGGACCAAATGTTAGGTCTGATGCTGTATAACACAAAGTATTATGAGTAGGCAGTTTGCTTTTGGTGTCATAGTGCAACAATTCCATAAAAACCTTTCAGCGTGGTTAAATTTAATTCTGCTTGTCCTCTTGGCTCTACTTTCAGGGTTTAGAAAATCTAGCCTGGCCAATCACAGCTTGTATGCATGTATGAGTCCACTTGATGTCATCAGGAGGCCGGGCTTCCCCACAGGGTCAAAGGTCAATTGAACCAAAAGATCAGATTAAATATTAAATTAAAAGTTTATATTTACCATCCGCTGTTGTTCCTTCTGCAAGACAGACAGACAGAAGCATGTATATAAAATAAAATAAAATATGTAAATTTTATCCGTTACACTCCATCTAAGTAAATAGTTGTAACCCATATACTACTGATAACATATATCAAATATGAAACATTATTATTATTTTTATTATTTGTTTGTAATATTCATTGTTATAAATAGCCTTTAAACCACTAAGATACCATCTATATATTTTATTTTAAAGCTTATGCACACTTTATATTGACATTATATTTACTTATTTATAATATATATATAATTTGCTGAATACAGTCTTAATTTCAGTGCTTATTGTGATCATTAACAAACAAAACATACTGTTATTAGTTATTTGTTTCCAGTTAATATGGTTATAACAATAATAATAATAATAATGATAATAATAATACAGTGACTAATATTTAAAAATGTATTCATATTTAAAGATGAGGGTTATAATGATATCAATAGGAAATAATTATTATTAGTAGTATAAATATAAGTGATACAATGATTATTGCAAGTCGTCTGTTTATTTATATTGAGTTGAATTATGTTTATAATAATGTTATAAGCTTAACATATAAACAACTACTGTTATTTTTATTAAATTGTCAAACAGTGACCGTCATGAGTGTTTCATATTGATGGGTACAAGATATGTATACATTTATTTATATATATTCATATAAACAAAACAATAGATATAAATATTCATTATAATAAACTGCATTCATTACTCAATAAACTAATGAATTCTAAAGTGATTAATAACAATGTGTCGTATCATTATTCGATCATATTGTTTTAATTACTAAACACAAGCTTTGCTAGTCATTAATTATTAATTATTCTTCAGCTGATTAGAGTAATCTTTAAGAATCACAACATGTGATTGATAGTAAGTTTCATCTGCAGATTTTTCTTGTTTTAGCTCAAATCAAATCAAAATCAAAATGTAAAAAAGAATATTAATTAATTAATGGATTTTAACAAGAGGTAATCAGTTTACATTGTTTGTTTTAATGTAATATGCGTATATGAGTTCAAGTATACAGTGATGATGATTGTAAAGTGTATCACTAACCATTTAAAAAGTGAATATCAAAAATTAATAAGGTGAATAATATTGATTGTTAATATAGTAATGTTATTGATAAATGATGTCAAAGCTCACCTGGGACTGGAGCTGCGAAAGAGAGAGCTGCAAGAGCAATGAGCAGCAACACAACACACCTGTAACACACACACACACAGTAGAAGGTTTTTTAATGCGAAGTGAACAGCTCGATTTGACTGCAGCCTGTTTGCATGTTGTTGTCGTTGTTGTTGTCGTACAGGAAGAGAGTAGGACAAACACTCTGTCAGTCTAAAGTCAGTAAATATAGTTTCACTCCATAAAGACTGAAAACAACAACAACAACAATAACCACAACAATGACAACAGGAGTCCAAAGTGACAAACAGAATGTGTCTGGTGTGCTCAAAGACCCCAATGGGTTAAATGTCTGCATTTCTTTGTGTTTCCTCCTCAGAGAAAAAAAACAAAGAGTCTGTTCTCTTCCAACGTATAGAGAGAAAGGATCCCAGAAAGGCTACACAGAACCCGTCTGGTGACTGCTGCTTTATGCTTACACACTGACGTCCTTCTGCTGGACTTACACAGACCATGTCCACAGACAAAACCTCAATGCTGATGTACTTTCACACAGTTTAAACTCTGGTTTCCATCATAATGTATAAAGTATGAGACTTATATAGCTGCTGTGAGATCAGCTGAAACATCAGATAATCATCATTAATAAAAGGAATGTCCGATTATGACTTAATCGACTATAATGACAAAACAAACATTTCAGAAGAACGATGATTCTCATAGTTTTAGTAGTTTAGAAACTTTTGTTCAGCAGCAGAGTCGTAAGGAATTTACTTCTTTCAGCAGTCTGATGAAACTCAAGTCAACTCTCAAACAGCTTAATAAAGTGAATGATTTAAAGTTTATCAATCAAAGATCAATAAACTCACCGTTGGATCATGTTGTGGTTGTTCGGCACGTCGACGGGATAAAAACTTCACTGGGATGAAACTTCAGTTGTTGAGTTTCTGAACTCAACTGAAACAGAGCAGTAGCTTTTTATACTCACACTCTCTCCTCCCTCTCTTCCCTCCCCTGCCCCTCCTCCCTCCTCCCCCCTTAATCCAGTTCAAACACACCGTTGACTGTTTTAGAGCTCTTGTGGTTTTAGGCCCAGTGTGACTGTCTGAACCACATTGTTATCTGAACCACATTCACACTGGGTCCAGACTGGATTATTAACGAGTCATTCAAACTAGCACTGTAACAAGCACAGGCAGACAAAGTCATTTTAAACCACCCCTTTGTATACAATTTAAATAAAAACACAATTCTGTTTTAAAAAACGTATTTGTTTTGGTGCAAAATAATGTAAAAAGCCTAAAGTTGACAAAAAGAGAGCAGTTTACAGAGTATGATTTGTTGTTTGGCTGTGAAAAAGGAAAATTTTATTAAATGTATAGAAGTTTCTGTTTTTTGGTTAATTAAGATGTTAGTAATCAGAATGTTGAAGTGGCCCTCCATTGAGAGGGCAATACCGGCAGTGGCTCCAAGACAATCTGAGAGGGCCCTGAAGTAACTGGTATGATTATGATAAAATAAACAATAAATAATACATTTAAAAGTAAACACGTCGACCAACAGTTATATTTTACGGATCCTTCAATATATCCAGATCAACGTTTAGACCAGATTCAAACAAGTGCTTCCAGTGAAACCTTTAAAAGAAGTAAGTGTCTGCCTGTAAACTGACTACAGACACGTTTCCTACCAGGAAATGTTTAAAAATATATACACTGTGTGTGTGTGCTATGTCAGGTATGTTGCTCTCATTCAGGGGAGAACTGGTTGGACGGTATTTTCCGGGAACACAAAGAGTTTATAAGAAGGAGGCTGTGAAGTACTCACACTCAGTGATTCAGAACAACATGTTACTGACACATTAACATTCATTAACATACCACAAACATACCACACCCTTTCACATCACACACAACTTTTAAACTTCAGGTAAAATTGAGTATTTCCTTAATATAGTTTGGTCTGACAGTTTCTATGGTCACACTCTGCTAAAGGTTGTTCATCTAACCTATTACACTGTCTGTCACATGACATATTGAATATTAAATTGTCCCCCCATCTTTCCTAAAGCACAATCACTGTGATAAGCAACTACAGACCAATCTCCAATATCCATTTTCTTAGTAAAAACAGCTGCACCCTTTTTTTATAGTGTCGATAAATCTGGCTTCAGGACTAACCAGCTCCCACTGAATGATCAAAAGATTACCTGCTTCACCTAGCCATGAAAGGTACATGCGTGTACAAGAATAGAATAAACTTTATTGACCCCGAGGGGAAATGTGTCTTGGGCACAGTGTTACAATTTGTTGCCTCACAGAAACAAGCATACATCAACTACCTACACATATACATCAGAAACCCATCAAAAAAATCAACATAAATGACATGAAAGACACTTTACATTTTAACACTGACAATATGGCAGCTTGTAAGAAAGCCTGTAAGAAACTATAAAAATTGAAGTGCTACGATGCCAGTTTGTTTATTGCACATTGCTCTATTGCACTATTGCATATGATTTAGTATTAGAGTTTAGCAGCTTGATAGAAGTCGGGACGAACAATAAGTTCAGTCTGTTTGCACTTTGGCACACAGAGTCTTCTTCCTGATGGCTGATTCAGAGAAGAGGGATGTTGAGGGTCCACAATCATTTTTGCCACTTTTTTAATGACTGTGTGCTCATATAGGGTCTCTATGGGCTCATATTCTTTCCTCCCTATTGTCCTTATAGCTATTTTGTGTGTGCTGGCCAGCCTGCCTTTCAGCTGCACTGTTAAGTTGCCAAACCATGCTGTGAATCCATATCTAATGATGCTCTCTAGGATTACCCTATAGAACATCAGCATGATCTGGCTGCTCACACCGTACAGACGCAGTCGCCTTAGAAAGTACTGTCTCTGCTGCAGTCGATTACACAGGTGATCAATGTGTGTTTT